CGAAAAATTTGCTTTAAAATGTAATTTACTCACCCACATTTTCATGAAATGTTTGCGTTTTCTCCGGGTTTGCACGAGATCTTGGCGTCTCAACAACTTCGGCGCGGCATCTAAATATGCTGGTAAATTCTCCGGCGGGTGGTATTTGTTTTGATGCAGAATTCGTACCACAGCGAAAATTGCATTAAAAGGTAATTCTCACCCTTTTCGCCCAGAATGTTTTGTATTTTCTCGGGTTTGCACGAGATCTTAGCGTCTCAATAACTTCGGCGCGGCATCTTAAAATGCGGAATTAAATTCTCCGGCGGGTGGTATTTGTTTGATGCAGGAATTCGACCTACAACCCGAAAAAATTTGCTTTAAAATGTAATTTACTCACCCATTTTCATGAAATGTTTGTATTTTCTCGGGTTTGCACGAGATCTTAGCGTCTCAATAACTTCGGCGCGGCATCTTAAGATGCTGAATTAAATTCTCCGGCGGGTGGTATTTGTTTGATGCAGGAATTCGACCTGCAACCCGAAAAAATTTGAATTAAAAGGTAATTTACTCACCCTTTTTCATGAAATGTTTGTATTTTTTCGGGTTTGCACGTGATTTTAGCGTCTCAATAACTTCGGCGCGGCATCTTAAGATGCGGAATTAAATTCTCCGTCGGGTGGTATTTGTTTAATGCAGGAATTCGACCTGCAACCCGAAAAAAATTTGCATTAAAATGTAATTTACTCACCCTTTTTCCTGAAATGTTTGTATTTTCTCGGGTTTGCACGCGATCTTAGCTTCTCAATAACTTCGGCGCGGCATCTTAATATGCGGAATTAAATTCTCCGTCGGGTGGTATTTGTTTGATGCAGGAATTCGACCTGCAACCAGCAAAAATTTGCATTAAAATGTGATTTACTCACCCTTTATCGTAAAATGCTTGTATTTTTTCGGGTTTGCCCGCGATCTTAGCGTCTCAATAACTTCGGCGCGGCATCTAAAGATGCGGAATTGTATTCTCCGCCGGGTGGTATTTGTTTGATGCAGGAATTCGAACTGCAACCTGCAAAAATTTTGCATTAAAGTGTGATTTACTCACCCTTTATCGTAAGCTGTTTGTATTTTTTCGGGTTTGCACGCGATTTTAGCGTCTCAATAACTTCGGCGCGGCATCTAAAAATGCGGAATTAAATTCTACGTCTGGTGGTATTTGTTTGATGCAGGAATTCGACCTGCAACCCGAAAAAATTTGCATTAAAAGGTAATTTACTCACCCTTTTAATGAAATGTTTGTATTTTTTCTGGTTTGCACGCGATTTTAGCGCCTTAATAACTTCGGCGCGGCATTTAAAAATGCGGAATTAAATTCTCCGTCGGGTTGTATTTGTTTGATGCAGGAATTCGACCTGCAACCCGCAGGTACTCGTTGCGCTAGGTAGTGTTGTTTTTATAATATAACACGCGAACGCACTGTCACAGTAAGTTCGAGCCTGAAATGCCATTTGTATCTCATGTACCATTGCGGGAAGATCTGCAACGAGTATTACAGTTGTGTATGCGCTATAGTACTGTTGCTAGAATTGCTACGGTACCTCCCGAAAACAGTCACGGTCAAGCTCATACGGTGTGCGCTCTGAATCAACAGCCACTTCTACCGCTAGCTTCGCACTGCGATGCTCCTGAATCGAATACTTTTACCACCGTCATGTGATTGTAGATTTTAAAACTTCAAAAATTTTATAGAACAGGATAATGAAATATACACTACGTGAAGTAAAAAGTTCAAAAAATAGTTGCTAAAGAGCTAAGAGATTAATTACGTAGTAAAGGTTTCAAAAAATAGTTGCTAAAGGAGCTAAGATATGAGATTTGTATTGTTGTTCCCAGATTTTCAATTGCGATTATCTCCCCAAACTGCCTTTTCCTTATAGACTGCATTCAATTCCGGATTGTGGGATACATTGTTTTATGTGAATAAAAGGGTACGTTCAGAATATAAAAGTCCTTTCCATTGTATTGAACTGTATCACAACGCGAATGGTTATACTCGTAGTTCGCACTCTTGGCTCTTATCGGTGTTAGTGCACAGCAACTTGTTTTTATTGCGTTGCAGCGCATCCGATGCGCTCAACAGTGTTCATTCCATTTCTTACTTAGTCGATCGTGCGCGCGGCGGCGTAGTGTGCCGCGATTTACTTGCGCGGCGATCTTCATGGCGACTTATTGCGTTTCTTGTGATTTTAAGTCAGTAGTTGAATTATAATCAGTCATCAAAGATAAGATTTAGGAAATAGCAGACAAGTGCGGCTATAGTTAATGAGTTATCGCGCGTGGAACCAAAATTTCGTGGTTTTACAACTGTGCACTTACGTGTTTTCGTCGGCCGTCGGATATCTTTTGTCGGCTATGAAATGCTCAGGCTTGTTTCGTGTATCCATTTTAATTATTAATTTGAATAAACATCATTTGTGCATCATTATGGAATATTTCATCTGCGAACACGTAAAGTATGTAACATAAAGCATATTCTATTACAATTCGACGAAATTAAACAGTCAAATGTGGATTTATCACCTTATAAGGAAAAACGATCAGAAAAATAGTTAACACTTTTAATACATGGCGTAGTCGTCACATGGTTGCATATAATAACCTTTGTAATACAAGTATTGGAATATTGTCGCGTTGTGGCGGCTGTAAATCCCTTCATTCAGGACTTTTCGTACCTTCTTTTTGATTTTGCATTCATAATTCTGTCTGGTAACTGAATTTGTGTGTTTAAGAAGATCTGGTGAGTATTTCTTTAAAATGTGTTTAATAAATTTGCCAATTATTAGCAATTGTATTATTTATTATGTTTATATTCATGTACTAAGTGATAAGTACGCCGGATAAAGTAAATAAACAGTAGTTCAGGTACAAAACATTCACTTTTGATTTTGATTTGTATCAATTCTGTATATAAATTTTTCTTTAATGCCTGCAAAAATGAGCATAATTCTTATATTGTTTCTGGGCGATTTTCTTTTTCTAGTGAAGATTTTCTTTTGACAACACCCCTGTATGTAAATTTCTTTTGTGCCCAGCCAAAAATTGACAATCTTTATTGTTTTGGGATGATTTTTCTTTTTAATTGAAGATTTTCTTTTGATAACACCCTGTATATAATTTTCCACTGATGTCATGCAAAACAGGGCGCAATTCTATGCAGATGATAAACATGTTTTAAAATGACGTCACGTGATTTGTAGGTATTGAAATTGCTAATTCTAAAGTTATATTGTATTTAGTTTGTTAATAAAGAAATGTTAAAGGCAATGGCTGTGTCTTATGACTTTGTGCACTTCCTTCCATCATTTGATAGGTCAAGCAACTTTGTAAAGTATTTCTCAGGGTTGTGGTCGGCTCCTGCGAGAGCGGCGGCAATTCCTAGAAATATCTCTACAAGTCCATATAAGGAGTTTCCCTCTACCTCGGGATGATCCCCTACTATAAAATTGTTATGGTATCCTGTATGATTTGTGTACTCCATCTTCATTCAGCTACAGGTCAGAACTTGTAAGAATATTTTTAAGTGCTTCCTCTTGAGACTTATTACTTCGTTCCGGTTGCGCCATTGCTATCTCCTCCTCTTTCTACTCTATTCTTCCTTTCCTTTCTATCTTCTGCTCTTCTCTGCTATTCCTTCTTCTACTTCTCCTATTTTTCTGTTCTCCTCTGCTCCTCCAATTTGCTTCTTACTTCCTCATATTGTCACTTGTATTTCCTTTCACTTTCTTTCTCATATTTTGTTGCAATTTATATATGCAAACCCAAATTACACCTACGTTGATATTTTTATATTTGAGAAAATGCCTTCTATACCTGAGAGATTCGCTGATCCGTGTTCGTTAGCATGCCAAAGTAGGTGCACATCTCCACTGACCACCGAGTGTTTTTGTCATTAATATTTGATTCTTCTATTATACTTTATTCAACTTTTTTTAAAAACAACAACACATGCCTTTAGCTATGCGTTGCTCCTCACATAAGCTTCATATGAAATATATTTAAGACGCATATCCTGAAAACAACAAAGAGGATACACGCCAAAGAAGAATGAATAATATTTTAATTTTAAATTGAGTTTTATTATTAATTGTATTTAACAATACATTTCCATTTTGCACAAACGAACGTACGTACGAGATTCGCTACAAGTCATATATCCCGTACCATCAAGCCACAACGCTTCTTATCAAAACGTTACATCAATAAAGTAGAACTGATAGTAGAAATTTCGATGTTACCACCTCTATAAATGTTTGCACTAACAATTATGGCACGCGGAGAACGCGCGTGATTTATCCCCTAATTAACAATACCATTTTGGCCTATAACCAATTAGAATCCGTAGCCCAAATGAAAGAGATCCTCGACGGCCGTATGGCCGATGGCTTATACACGCGCAGGTGGTGCCTTAAGTCTCGAGTCGATTTGAGATGTAACTCACTTGTTCGCAGTAGGCATAGCACCGATGACTAAACAAACGATTCTAATGCTCTCACCCTATTAAAGTCCTCACCACTAACAGTCGTGGATGCGAAGACCAGCGGCGAAACAGAACACGTTCACACAGCACAAATGCATAGCACCGACTGACTAAACAGGGAAAAACAACAGCCAATAGCAAGCGCAAGATTTACTGAGCAGTATAGCGAATTCTCACCTGAAGCCGACGACACACGGCGACCGGTGAGGTACTGTCCAAATTTCAAATCGCAGGTATTAAAGAGTTGCGCAGCCCAAGGTCGAACTGAAAGCATAAACAAAATGTAGCAAATTCTGCATTCATATAAGGAACATGGATCAAATATGAATCTTAGATACTGCTTTCCTATTCTAACTCACCTGCTATCAGCCTATCCTGATATTTCTATCTCACTCACTTGAACGCAAATTAATAAAACACAATCCATGTTATATATAATCCAAAAACGATTCAAAATGACTAAATAAAAACAAACAGTTACAAGTGATTGATATAACAACGTACGAAACGTACAATTTATCAAACAATACACGTTCTACAGGTACATCTCTTACGACATTAGAGTAAAACGCCATGAAGAATTAAATTTTACATCCGTCCCCTCGCTGATATTACGAGGATGACGCGTTCATGTGCTAAACCCTGAAAACCAGTAAAATCAGTGCTTCGAAACACAAAAAGTAAATTTTTCTCGCTAATTCATAAAAATTATGTATGAATATAATAAAGAAATTAAGTACTTACAATCTGATGCAAGAATGGTTCTCCTACGATATCGGGCTCGGGTGCAGATCACCTAAAACAAGCAAAAATTAGTGAATTGCAACACAGAAATGTAATTTTCGTCAGTAATGCATGAGCTAATCACAAAAGTTATGTATGAAAACGATAAAGAAATTAAATACCTACAATATGATGCAAGAATGGTCCTTCTAGGATGTCAGCAAAAATAAGTCCTTCCAACATTGAACTTAATAAAGAAAACAATCAACAAGTATTTAACAAAGTAATCATATCTTCATATAGTATTAAGAACGTAATTTCATATGTGACAAATAACATTTAACATGCTTAGCGCCTCTTACTGCAACAGCAATTCAATGTGACTTGTAACTAAATTAATAAGGATAAGATGCTTACCTCGCACCTTCGCTCTCCATTTAGCATATTTTTACTGTTTAACTGTTTAGATCAATAACAAGTCTTGTGTTGCCTTTAACAAGCGTAATAAGTATATAACAATAGTTCTGCGCTGTCTTTTTTAGCCAAATTCAATTTGAAACACCAATTTTGCGCTGTGTTTTGGTCCAATTATATTAAAAGCAGAAAAAATTAGGGTGACGTTTGACGGTGTTCATTCTTCTTCTTCACCCGGTCTTCTGGGCTCTGTGAATTGCAAAATTTAAGATGTTGATGCTGCGTCCAAATCCATGGAATTCCCCAGTAAAAAGGTAAATCTAAAAATCAGAGTGTTAAAATGCAATTCATAAATTTCTAGTTTTTTTAGCTTTAAGCAGCTTTAAGATTAGGAAAACATAAAATTCCATCACTATTGAAATACAATAGTAGTACGAGACGGTGAATATAAGCTGAATAAAGTTAAGTAAACACTTACTGTACGCTATACCCTCACAATATCGCTGTAAAACGATATATTACAAAACCATTGCAAGTCAATGCAAGTATTTGTAAAGCCAGTAGGTGTGCTGATGAGACCTCTAATGGTCGAAATAGCTATCCACATCAGGCAACAAGTCCGAAAATCCTAGCGCGTTCTGAAGAAACCAAAAGACGCTTCTCGTCATGGACTGTTACTGATTCTCTATCAAGGCTTCAAGATAATAGACGCGGTAGGCCGGTGCTGAGGTGAAAACAAATTTCATTAGCATAACAACGAGCCAGAAGTAATATAAAAGCGAATATTGCTGAAGCTTGGGGGTGTTTTCCGGATAGTTTAAGTTGTATTTCTTATTTACCTCTTCTAAGGCTCATTCAACACAAACATTTTTGTGTCGACTGTGTCAACCTACCGAGGCTTAGTTAACACACATGTAGTTTGTAAACCTTACTTTACACTTTATAAAACACGTTAATATGTTAGTAAACAGTGTTATAATTGTAACACTACACCTTGCAACATAAAAATAAATAAATACCTTTTGGCCTGTCAAAATTTAATAGAATCATTGAAATCGTTGAAGATGTCTCTCTTGCTTTACCGGAAATTACCATTTTCTATCGAATCCTTCTGGACTTTATTCAGGGCACCGTATGAGGGTAGCGGTAGAAGTGACTCGTGTTCAGGGCACCGTACAAGGGTAGCGATAGAAGTGACTCGTGTTCAGGGCACCGTACAAGGGCAGCGGTAGAAGTGACTTTATTCAGCGCACCGTACGAGGGTAGCGGTAGAAGTGACTCCCATTCAGTGCACCGCATGAGGGTAGCGGTAGAAGTGACAAAATCGAGACGATACCATACTATACAATTTTGAAATATATTGAGTGCAAATAATACAATATTTATTTCATAATCAATATCAGATATGATGTGATTTTATAATTTCAACAGCGATAACTCAATTTAAATGTCCACTATGGCCTGGGCGATGTGTATTTATGAAGACAAATAATATAGTGTTGCAACGAATTTGACTCTATAAACTGCAACCCGTTACGAAGGACACTCAAAGGTGTATGAAGTGCTCCCCAATGACACATATACCGCGTAATCAATCTAGTTGAAGAGGCCTGGGAAGCTGTACGCGACAGCAGCACGTAAGCCAGCTCAAATCTGGCGGCCCAATCAAGCTGACGACGTTGCAGGAAGAGTTTAAGCAAGTGGAAGCGCCACTGCCGAGGTGAAAAACATAAGGAAGAGCTCACGAGTCACAAGGTTCCAGCCCGCTACGCCCAGCATACACCTCGAGGACGAGTGAGAGTCCAGGACGGTCAGTGTTAGCAGGGAAAATGTGAAAACGTAGGCAACCAACAACACAACATACATTACATTATTTTTCCCGCGCAACACCGGCGCACTGCGTGCCTGCCAGTGCAATAACTAAGTACAAGCAGAGCGCAGCAGACGCAGATTAAGAGACGCCTTATTCAATAAACGCTATTCAACATTCTTTTACAATTACAAGTGCTCATTGTTTCATGCTTATCTTTTATCACCTGCCCTCACAAGTGCCACACCTAACAGTACTTATATGAGAAATGCAGATAAAAATAAATGTTTACTCATTTTTATTTTCAGTTATCAGATAATATTATGTCTGGATTGCAGTATTACATAAAACTCAACCACACAAAGTGACATGGCGACTTCGCTTAAAAATTTCCTAACAATAATACGTTTGGCATTATTAAAACACTTTACGTGTACGGTGTGCAAAAAAAGGTAAAAGCTTTAAAAGGAAATACAAATCAAAATAGATAATTTTTGGCCATTCTTCGCCAAGAAGACTGATTTCATAAAAGCCGTAACTGAAACCGTGCTAAAAACGTTAAGAACACTTATAAATTTCTGAAGGCCCTCATATAATTTTCTAAAATTTCTATTGTGGCGACATCTAGCGGTTGGATGGGGATGTACTGTGACGTTTGCTTGTTAGAGCTTACGATAGATGTCGCTACAGTCTGTATGAATGTGGCAACTTTACTTGCATCTATTTTGAATTGTGTCCACGCTTGCAATTTTACCGAATATTGCCGATGTATACCGATACCGAACTAAAGTCCCCCCTGAAATAAACCTCAATCTCATGTTATGAAGACACCTCATACACTGTTTTACTACCAATCCCTGACTTTAATTATTTATTTATTACAATAAATTTATCACCATCCGTTGAGATGGATGGGGAGATTAAAGAGGGATTTCTTTGCCCTATATGTCACATTGATTTCCGCTCTCCTAAAATATTATTAAGCCATTTTCAAGAAAAACATGCAGAAGAACAGGATTTACTAAAGTCATTAAAAGGTAATTAGTTTCAAAATAAATATTTCAAACATAAACCTCAACCAACTACTTATTTCAGATTTAGTTGGAAAAGCAAAAAGTAAAATACTGAAAGTTGATGATAGAGATATTGAAGCAATCAAGTCTGATGTTACATTCCAAAGATATTTCCTTGAAAAATCAGAGCCACAAAATCCTGGTATCAGTAGGTCTCACATAGAGTACTTCAAAGAAGTTAGAAGAGAAAGATTGGATCATAGAACTTCTGAGACTAACAAATTAATCATAAGGTTGGACAGATTTCTAAGATCAACTGGCACCGATCGTAAGCAGGTTGCTCAAGAACTAGTCACTTGGTTGGATGGGAGCACTGTCAGTAGATGTCCATCATGTGCAGCTAGTTTTAATTTAACAAGGAGGCAGCATCATTGCAGACTGTGTGGCAGTATTATGTGCAATTCATGTTCCACATTTTTGACATACGAAGAAGCCAGAAGTATAACAACATCTGTGTATTCATCAGATACAAGTGTGGTACAGAATAAACATAAAGATGATCAAGACACTCTTAGAATATGCTCACACTGTAAAGGTATGCTTGACTGCAGGAGTAAAGTACAGATGAGTCAAAGTCATCATCCATTGATTTGCAAATTGTATCAACAATTGCAGAGGGCTAAGAATCAAATTCAACCTAATGTTGATTTGTACATTAAGGTATGCTAAAAAACTAGTTGAAGTTTTCTATTATTAACTGTTATTTTCACTTTGCAGATGTTCACATCTTTGGATATGGGTGACACAACATATACCCTGCATGATGCACAACATTTAAAAAGTTCCATAGCAAAGCAAGCTGAAATTTTAGATACAATTAGCTGTAAAATATCAGCGATTCCACCAAAAGCAGAATTTCCACGCGAATTTAGTTTGCAGAATTCGATCCGTCGCGGAACAAACATGTACATCAAAGAGGTGATACTAACATTACCAAATCTTCCATCACCCAGTGAATTGGTCAAAAAGAGAGAACAGAGACTCCTGCTGAATTCTCAAGAGTCTGCCGCCGCGGATTCCGTGCATGTGGCGGTAAAAAAAGTTGCAGTAACCACCGGTTGGTCCCCTGCAAACGTTGCGAACAATTTAGAGGCTAGCACGGCCGATGGAGGTGAAGATCCGCTAATTGAACAAATTAATATTGTCCGAAACTATATTCAGCAAGCGATTCAAGCGAATCGCTTCGAGGAGGTCGCCTCCCTGAGGGAGAATTTAAATATGTTGAAGCTGATGCATAAAGAACAGCAGAAGTCTCAACAGCAACATCAACCACGTGATAAGTAGCTTTTATAAAATGTATTCTAGCATTTACAACATATTTTATGTTATCTTGTTTTGAGAGTGTACATTATTATTTATGGGTTTATTTAGAATATGCAACTATATATTATATATACCTATATCTTGTTATCGCTTATATTTATTGGAATATAATTTAAATCGTACAACTTCATATGTGTGTTATGGCGCTTTTAGATGATGTATTAAATTGTAATAAAAATTTGCACATTTTAATTCTTGTACTTTGTTCGTAGCAAAATCTTGCGCCTTGTAAGTCTTGCGCCGTCGCAGACAAGTTGTTATTTTTGTTTTCCTTGATTCGCGCTGTTGCCATATTTTGACTGATAAAAATAATAAAAAACACATTGCAACTATGCAAGTTGATTGTCGTTTTTAGCAAATGTTTTTAGACAACAAAATATAGTTTCTTTGCCAGAATGGAAGTGAAGCGTTTAGATAATAATGTAACGGCAAATCTTCGAAGCGGCTATAGTGTTAATAATATACCACGATGCGTTAACGAATTGGTAAGTTTAATTTTAAAAAATGTTAAAACTTTTATTCGTTGATATCAGTTACAAGAAGTTGCTAAGTAACACAGGTTAGGAAGACTTTACTAGGCGTTATTGCATTTGAAATCAAACTTGCTTTTAAAAAGTTGTATTAGTTTTAATTGTTTGTACTCCTACTTACTTGTTATTTCCAAGATGGTTATTTTTCATGTTCAGATATTAATAAATATTTAAATATTAAACAAAATTCACAAATACTCAGACAACTTAGTTGACAAAATAAGAAAACAGCTTAAACTGAACTGGAAAAGTATGTTGTCACTTTGAATCAATACGCAACCATCACAACACTAAATAAAATATTACGTATGCAACACATGATACATTAAAATTAAAAACTTCCAAAAACAATGATATCTTCCTAGGTTTTAAATTCATTGGACGCAAATTCAACACACATCACAGTACGCGTGAACTTGACAACATTCCGCATTCAAGTCGTCGACGATGGCGAAGGCATTACAAAAACAAATTTGGAACATGTTGGCAAACGCTACTATACCAACAAATGCAACTCAACGCACGACTTAGAAAAAGTTCGCAAACAATTCGGTTTCAAGGGCGAGGCACTTTCCTCAATTGCTAACAATGCGAAAATAATAAAAATCACATCCCGGGCATGGGACACCACCGATAGCCAAACTTTAATGCAAACTTTTGACAAAACCATCGAGGGAAACCAGCACACTATAATCGAAACAGCGCAACGTGCCAGTGGCGGAACAACCGTCACCGTTCAGGAGTTTTTATACAATCTTCCCGTGCGACAGAAACGAACAAAAAATTTAGAATTCAACGAAATCAAAGAAAATCTCCAAAAACTATTTTTACTACATCCGAATATCACATTTTCATTACGTGATGATTCAACAAAAAAGATCCTATTTAGTTCAACTCCCGTTGAAACTGTTGAATCTGCTTTACAACAACAAATTGATAACTTGGATGAAAAACTCATAAAGTATTATTCAATTACCAGAGGGCGCATGATTGTAAAAATTCTGCTTTATTTAAAGCAGTATGAGAATAGCAAGTGGCAAATGTTTTTCGTCAACAAATTACACGTAAAATCAGCACAGCTTACGAGTCACGTGAATGATATTTTATCAAAGAGTGCTTTGTGCAACAAGAAAACAAGAAACAATTGGAGTAGTGCTGGTGGTGGTAACTATATGTATTTGTTTAATATCACATGCCCAAATTCAAAATACCATATAATTAATTACAACGATGTGGAGTTTAAAAATTTAGAAACAATATACAAAGTGATTGAGAGGCAGTTGCGCAAAATATTCAAAACAGAAAATATTTGGATAGCAGAACCAGAAAAGAAGAAGAAAATTGAATGTAATTTAGAGAGGCGTATTCATTTGTCTGGATTTCCAGGAGCTTTTAAAGCTACGGCCGTACGAAAACCGGGCGAAGAAATTGAAGAAGAAGAAGATGAAGAAAATTTTGTATATAATCCAGATTTTAAAGTAAATTGTCAAACTGAACAACGTGTTGAAACTAAATCTGCTTCAAGTGTGGAGGAGCCCTTGAGATTAACATATTCATCATCTTCTTATCCTGATTTACTAAGACCTCCTTACCAAGAAGATAAAGAAGTTTTTCCAAGTACAAACTATTCCTGTAGTCAAGATAATAATCAAAAAATAATTACAATGAATGTAAAAGAACCTTTAGAAACCACTTCAACGATAGGAAGAAATTATGTTCTAAATAAATTTTTGCAGGACAATAACTACAATCCAAAGATATGTCCTCCAAATGATAAATTTGATGATCAACATAGAAAAGAAAGAGAATATTTAAAAGAACTGCAAATGAGAGAAGCTTGGATTTTGAAAAAAGAAAAAGAGCTACAAATCGCACTTGAAAAAGCGCAAGCAATAGAAATTGAAAGAAAACGTGATATTCCTTATTTAAACCCGAATGAAAATATGAAAAAGTATCATTATGAAAGCAATCGAAATGATGTTGCATTAGCGCATTATTATCGTTATAAACATGAGCGGAAACGTCGACAAGAAAACGATCTTATGACATGAAACCTACAAAAAAGATGTTGGTTTATTGTGGAATGATACTCGTGTTGATCTCTGCAGACATGAAACATTTCCAACTCATTACAAATTTAAGGATTACTTTAAAATACCAGATGTTCCTCATTATAAGCTACCAGTTGAATATAAATCAAGACAAGAATATCATCATAAACATTTTTATGAATATCCCAAAAGATATTATCAAAAAATTAGTAAAATTCCAAAATATCATCCAAATTTAGATATACCAAAGTTTCTAGACACTTCTCTGGGTACCCAAGAAAATCAAAATGATTGGGATTTATTCAATTTTGAGGAACTAGATAAAAAATCATTTCACTTTCCTCGTAAATCCACTCGCACGGCAAAGCAAATGCATAATTTTGCGAAAACAGTTTACGATTCAGACTTTTCGCCTGTTCACGGAATGGAATTCACTCTTCCGCATCCAGTGCCGGAGAAAAAGAAACGATCCGGTAATTTTTTTCGGATACGTGCCTCGGAAAACACAACCCGTTTGAAACAATACCAGGTCAGAAGCAGGACTCGAAGTACGACAACTACAAACATCGACCCAGGTCAAAACCAAGGCAAACACATCACTTATTCGAAGACAAATTCCCGAACTGGGACAAGAACCAAAACGAGGACTTTAATTTCTGTTAGTAGACGTACGACGGTCACAACTATTTCTAGACGAAAATTGGAGCATGCGCGAAAAAGAAAATCTACGAAGAAGAATCGAAGAAAAATCAGGTTAATTACTAATAAAGCAACGAATACTTCTATGAAACAATTAAGCGTAAATGAAACTATTATTATGATGGAGCAATCTATACAGTGTACTATTGGTAATCAGCAGAATCAAAGTCAATTGGGAATTATACCAAAACAAGTAGAAATTGTGAAAAATCACAATAACGAGAATAAAATTGAAAGCAAAAAACCGAAAGTTAATATTATTAGCGATGTTATTGTCAAACCAATACAAGACGACAACATAACCACAAACATAACAAAATTTGATGATGATGGTATTATTGAAGGCACTCCAGATAACGCACCGTTTACTCCTTGGGGAAGCAATTTTCATTCTTGCGTAGTTAAAATGAAAGAAACGCAAAACGCACCAACGGGAACCTCAGAAACTATCACTAAAAATATAAATAATACGTCGTTTGCTAATTTAAGTTATTTTCTTCAAGAAAATAACGCAGACGCAACATCAGCCAAAGATACTGAAGTAATTATTGACAAAAACGTCAATAATGATAAAGATGATTTTAATATTAATGCATTTGAGGGATTTAAGGCGTTTTCTGGAGTTGAAATATTTGAAAATGAAAATGTAGAAAGTAATAACAACAATAATCCGTTTAATTTATCCATTGCAATCGAAGAATTGGCGGAAAATTGGAGTTTTAAATTTAATACTACTCAACATTGTGAAAATGTGAAAAAGTCAACGGATTTTTCTTTCTGTACTACAAACCAAAACAAAAAGAAAAAAACCATCACAACTACAGATATTTTTGGGGGCCCAGGGTTGGATACTAATTTGGAAATTGATGAGTGGTCCAGAAAATTTGACGATCAAGGCGGGAGTTATTACATTAACAAACGGACAGGTAAATAACAAAAACAACAGCAGAATCTCAAAAATACAATCAAAGTTTTGCCAAATAATTTTAAATTTTAATTTTATAGGCAACACAATGACACAATTACCCGCTGGCAACGAAATATTTGAGCTAACAAAAAGACCTATAGATCTTCCCAAAGGATTCTCTCCAATTCTCAAAGAAACCCCTCAAATTACCGAAACGGTGAGCAACGAAACAAAACGTGAATTTCACGCGGCGGTTTGTGAATGTTACCGCGATGATGACTTAGATTTGGCGCACGTCAAATGGAAGAAGCATTATTTGCAAAATACAGGTAAAGGTCACGACATCTGCACTTAATTTGTTTCCAATAACATAATACATCAAAATATTTAAATTGATTTTTCTGTTTGTTTCTCATCAGATTACGTAGAATTTTTAAACGAATCTATGACAAACGATTCATCATCGAAACGCAAGAATTGCAATTACCGAAAATTAGGCAAGCGTCGAGTTCGCTTAATCCGGTGGCATTTACAAAGGACATGTTTCATCAGCTGGACGTGCTGAGACAATACGATTGTAAATTTATCGTCACCGTGTGGAAACCGAAGGCGATGATTGTCATTTTCGATCAGCACGCTGTGCATGAACGCGTGCGACTCGAGCAACTCATGAAAAAATATATTAACATTCATAAAGGTAATAGAAATTAATCGCTAATGTACACATTGTAAAGATTTATTTTATTCTAAGGGTACTTTGAAGAAAATATCCAATTAACAACAACTAAACTGAAACCATTCGAAGTCGCATGCAGCCGCAACACAATTGAGACGTGTCTAAAGTATATGGATGTGTTTAAAAAGTTTGGTCTAGATTATTCGTGTGCTAATGAGGATACATTGATTGTGAATTCTGTGCCGGAATGTTTGTATAATAAGGCACTGAGGGAGAACGCCAGACGCAAGGAGAAACTTGCCGAATTAACCAAATTGATGCTGTACGAAATTGTGAATTCGATTGTGGACGCTGTTTGTTTCAATCAATGGATGCCGCCAATGGTGACTAATTTAATTAATTCGGAAGCTTGTCGAGGTTTGTAGATCCTTTTTTTTTTAGTAAAAACCTACATATTTTATTTATACAAAAAATAGTAATTTATTTGAGAATGTGTTGAATTTTAATTTTTTTTTGAGCTTTAAAGGTGCCGTGATGTTTGGCGATGTGCTAAGCACGGAGGAATGCGGTAAATTAATTACGGATTTAGCTTTGTGTGATTTGCCATTTCAATGTGCGCATGGCAGACCGACTTGTGCACCTCTTTTTGAGCTAACAAGATTTGCAGAGGTAAAGTGTGAACAATAACTTTTATTTTTTTAATTTTATTTTTTTAATTTTTTGTTGCAGGCTAAGAAACGCATTAATCTTACTTCTTTAAAACATTTACGAAATGCAAGAACATAACGCAATTCAAATACTACTTTATTTTGCTAATAATGATTAAGTTGAAACTTTGTTACTCACTTTTTGACATTTACTATATTTAGTTATTATTCATATTTTTATTAGAATGATAAATTTTGTATTTTATAGGATTATCTTGAATTTTTTATATAATTTTCAATGCCAGTAATAAAAAAACAGGAAAATAATTTATTAATTTTAAATATTTAAAAACCAAGATGACATGTAATGTAATACGAGTATAGAAATGTTAATTATTGAAATATTAGTTATTACACTGTGACTTGTCAGTAAGGTCAATTTTGGTTTCATATTTCTGCGCAGAATATATTTTTATTAAGTTAGTCAAAAATTATACTTTCATATATTAAATATATGAAACAAAAAATAAAAAGAAATTGATGTGTTCTATGATTCTCCGAAAATTTCGCGCATTATTCTAATTCAAATTTCGAATTTGTATTATTCATTGTTTCAAAGTTTAACACCCAATAATTAACAAAACTATTGTTTGCGTTATACGCAATTCTTAATTAGTATTAATTACTGCCGGCAAATAAAAGTAGAAACTCTGTTGCGGCCCATTCTTTATGGCATTCATATCATAAATCAGTGATTTAATATTATACATTCCTGCACAATAAAATTTATTCAAGTATGAAATTCAAAGTTTATTTATTTCGGACCAGCAGTCCAATAAAATGAAATTAATACTTGTAAAAAATAAATTTGGTCAATATTTGCGGAATTTATTAATTTTTTATAATGAATAATGTAATTGTTAATATTTTTTGTATTTACCAGTCATTAATTGTTATTATTAATAGAAAAAAAGTGAAGTATTTCTCTAAATTGCAATTTTTTCAGAATTAATAGACAAATATTTAAATTTTTGTAAAAACCACGTCGTAAAAGACACAAAACTTTATATTTTTTCAATTACAATTTCAAAATCACCGATTTTTCCCTTTAAAAATCAAAAAACAAACAGAATTTAAAAAAAAATACAAAAATAATTTTTTGCTACTGTAATCTATAAATTATTACTTCTGCACAGATCAATTTGCAGTTTATAGAACAGGATTGTTGCTCTATAAATAGTTCCGTAATAATTTTCATACTACCTGTTGGAATACAAATACAAATGTAGTTTAAATTTGTAAAACCAGCCGTATTAAAATGACGGCAAATCGATCAGTAGACAAGTCGTTAAAATAGCAATCGACATCAGCGTCTCAGGTCTGTTCCGCGTTCATTCATTGCACTGGCTGCAGTCGTCCATGCTAATTCAATGTGTACAATTGCAGCGCAGTCAGTGAACTTGAATAAATTGGTGCTCGCCCATGACGGGCGTGCGTAAATGGCGCACGTTGCGTGAAAAACCGACGCGAAACGTAACGAAACACCACTCGCGCGCGATTTTCACAGTCAAACGGCCGTTATAAATAAAACTTTCTCCGGTTTTAATATTGATAAATAGAGAGAAAAGAGCGCGCGCGCGCGTGCAGCGATCTGCCTGTTTGGCGAGTAAAAGTTGGATAATAAGCGATAAACTAGCCGGAATTGAATCCTAATCTGAATTCGTAATAAATTGTTGCTGGACACGTACGAGGACAAAACACATGTTGATAACATATGATATATTGAGTGTTAAAATATCACTTGATTAAAATATTCACTTTCCTAGATGCAAAATGAAAGCATGAGTTCCTAACCTCAATTTACAGCATTGAATTTTATTGTTTTTGCGTTTTTATGCTTTGTTTTTGCAAAGAAATAATCGAAATATTTGAATACCTGTTGAATGATGAACTCACTCGTGATTTTGCTGCGCAATGTATTAGGTAACAAATTTATAAAAAAGATAAAACACGAATTTATTTGCATTTTTTATAGACGACTCTTTGTGATTACCATAATTTCTAGGCGCGACAATACAAACGATAAATAATTTATCCGAAGACTATACTACACTAACCTAATTTACATTAAATGGCATTTTTGACATTTTTGACGCACTTGCCTGTTGTGAGCGACCATAATACGAATTCAATCAATTATGTAATAGAAAATTTAATTTACTTTCCCTGCTATGACATCAATTCCAACACATACCAAAGTGATACGATGTATGCTCTAAAATAACTAAGCTCCTAATTGTTAGCAACCAATTATACACTTTGTTAGTTACATAACCACATCTGTGTGGATGTAGATGTAGTATGTTTTTGTTAGCAGCTTTGGATTAAAATTTAGAGCATTTTATAGCTTTGAATCACGACAGGAAGAAATAGAATAGAAGCGTGAAAGAGAAAAGCAGCTTATCGAATGGCCATGGAGGCGAAGAAGAAAAGAAAACGTTATGCACAAGTTATGCACATTCGATTCATGCGATAGTGAAATTACCCCACCGCGCACTTCTTCGCGAGCTTCTACTTCTTCTCGGCGCGATCGGCCCGTCGCGGAATAGGTAAAAACTTTCGGACAGACGTGCACTTGAATCAGTTCGTTATTTAACGACAAAGAGTGAACATCAAGAAGTCCCATCGAATTAAAAAATAATAACAATAAGTGATAAGTGATTTTAAACACAATTTATGTGAGTATTGTTTTTTAAATTAAATTTTTGATTAGTTGTGGTCAATGAATGAAAAAATAATTAATGATAATCAAATTTAGTATTTGTAAAAAATAAAAAACATCCAAATTAATTTTTTTTAAATATTTTTGCTCATTATTCACAAAATTGTACACGGTTCCTTCGAGCGTTTAGAAAAAGAAGCAAAAATGGCAGAAAATATATCAAAAGTAGTTTACAAACATTTTAAAACACAACTTAATGTGAAATTATTAAGTTTTTACTTGGTTTTTATCTAATTTCCAATTATGTTCCAATTTATTTTAATTTTATTTTTAAAATAAGAAAATTTCCAAAAATAAAGAAAAAATCACGACACTGATAGCAATATTAAACCCAAAAAAGCAAATAAATAATTAAAGATAATATTTGATATATACCATTGTTTTCTTCAATCTAAATCAACGTAAATTGATATGCAATTAAGACACAATTGTTTTTAGAACAAAAACAAGAACCACACGCCTATTGTTTTGTTTCGGTGTTCGAAAGAACAATACACGAATTTTTCGCAGTAACGGCGTTAATTTCCATAAATTAGATAAACGAGATTTGGTGTGATACGCATATTATGCTCGTTATTAGAGAAAGTATATGAAAGTTTGCTCTTGATCCAACACATCTCCAGAAAATAATAATAATAAACTCTATCCATAACATCAATCAACAAAGTCAACCAAACGGAATGATTATTTACTTATTTATTATTAAATGAAACATTTATTTATTACTTAAAAAGATTATGCTACTCAATAGCAATCAATTTATTATTATAAACAATTAATACTTACATGACGTAAATGTAAAAAATAAATTTAATTGCAAAAAGTAAAAGTGCGACCTCCGACCTCGCAAATATTGGCAACAAGATTTCTTCGCATTTTATTTGATTATATTTTATTTTACTGGCGTCATAAATATGTTACAACAATCAATATTCATAGATGTACTTTGTTTTGAGATTCAATCGTGTGACACCAATACGATTACATAATTTACTGTTTGAAATTTTGATGATTTTTAGTGATGATAGGTCAGGAAAGAATAAAATAAATTTTTTATTATAAAATTATTCAATTCAAAATAAAATATAAGTAAAAAGTTTAATTTTCTATGTGAATTTTTATACATTCACAAAGAAAGTTTCCAACTTGTAGTTTTTCTAAATTTAACTTAAACAGAAGTAACTGAAGCATATCGAATAGTAAATAATGTAGATTAACACGCGGAATAATTAGGATTCGATATTGTCTCT